TAGAATCGGTGTAACAAAAAGCATCCATACCATTAGTGGTGGAAAAATTGTTGATGTTTATCAATAAAGAAAATATGTTTTTTTCTTTAAAAAACCCAATTATTAAATAAACCATTCTATTAATGTATTCAATGAAATGTAGCAGGGGAAATTACATAACCAGTGCTTTATTCTTGTATGGCATTTGACATTTTCTAAGAGTTAAGAACTTGACTTCACATTTTGTTCACATAGTTTGCTGATGTGATTTGCCAGGTGTTTGGGAAGCTGCATGGAAAACATTTTAACACAGAGAACATTGACTGTTGGTTATTTCAGATAAGAATATAATCTTTCAGAATGGTATAACTGGACCCTGGAAAAAGTAGCTAGTTTTAGTAGTTGCTTTCCATTGTTGAAATGAGTAAGCTGCTCATAGAGCTGTGCCTTTTCTCTGAAACCTCATTACTTTATTATTTCTGGCTCCTTTTCCCTTGAACAATTCTGTGTTCAACCTCACAGTCAATGTGATCCCAAGCACAATTTTTTACTTCATTCCTTCTCACAGTACTTTCCCTAAATTTCATATGGCAGCTTTCTCTTGTCTGCCACTTTCAATGTCTCTTTCCCCCCTAAATTTCCAGCTGGTTGACCCCAAGAGCTACCTGTTTCTTACTCTGCAGTCTGATTAAGCTAATTTCTATTTTATCACATTGCTAGTTTTTCAGAAAATTATAGCTTGAGAAATTGGGGAGTATTTGGTTAAAGGCAAATTCATACCAGTAAAAAAAAATATTTATTTTTTAACAAGTTAAATAATTTTATAGTTTTCCTACTATGTATGTATAACATACTATACTTTAGTATGTTATTTCTGTTGAAAAATGTCAAGGAGTGCTATAAAAGTAGAGGATAATACTATTGCAAATGATACAATATATTGCTTTAATTGCAATCAGATAATACACTGGAAAAAGCTGAATATGGGAATAGATAAACAGTGATAAGATGAGAGAAATTTCTTGTGTCAACTGAGTTTCATTCATGCAGGCTCTAACAGAAAGGAACACAAAGACTTGTTTTGCATTCAGAATTATTTAGGGATATTCCAATAATATCAGGGTGTAATAATACACAGTAGTTTAGCCTTTCCACAAAAACACTTGGGGGTCTGCTGCCCACTGTAGTAGTGAAGCTGGAATCTCAATCAAATTTTAGGACCTGGTCACAGAGAGTGAAAATTGAAAGGAATAAATTATCTCCTAAATGCCTCTTATTTACTATTAAATAAAATATCCCAAGCAATAGAGAGCAGGTTAAACTCCCCTTGCAGCATAGGAAGAACAGGAAGGTATTCCATGAGGCTCAAGTGTGTGAGTGTTTTCAAGCATGCTTCTGAGGCTCTGCTGGTGTGCTAAGCCTGATCCTGGACACTAAGTACTTCCAATTTGGCAGCCTAATCAGTTGCTGAATCACTGATTTCTTACCCTAATGGTTCACTGAATTTTGTAAGAAAATGGACAAATAGGTGAGCAATATCAGAAAAAATTTAAGTAATTTTCTGTTCACGTTTAAAAAGGGAAAGCTATCCTGTTTACCTGTGTACCTGGATTCTTGTCAGAACAGTGGAAATCACTTTTCACCTGATAAGGTGTGGAGGGGGAGATGGTTCTCTGTGTGTGTATAATAATGATGATATTGCAAAACCTATAAAGCTACTTTATTAGACTAACTTCATTATTTTAAGAAAAATTAATTGTTGCAGCAAATTTTCTGTCTTTTCTATGTGTAACAAAATAGGTAATGTTTCATAACTCTGTGAGGACGCAGGTTAGGTTCATTTTGCCATACCATCTTTTTACATACTAGTGCCATGGACTACTATAATGTAGGAAGTAAAGAATGTGTGATAAGAGGCTAGAAATCAAATCAAGGTTAAAAAAAAAAATTAAAAAAAAAAGGTATCCTGGAGTTCTTTTGTCATATTAAAAATCTGACATATCTAAATTTTGTCCACGTCTCCATTGTCTTCTGAGAATGTCCACGTATATGTGCATATAGACTAACGATTTTTATTAACAGCTCAAATGATGTATTTAGTTGAGATGGATATCTGGAACATTACTGGAGTTCTTTTGCACTTCGGCAATGCAAAGCTTAATGTTTTTACTACATTATAATACATTTACTTTATGATTTTAAGCAGTTTATACTGGGGATTAGCTGAACAAATATGGTGTATGTTTCAGTTTTAGACATTGAGAATAAGTCATGGGCATTTTTGGTGTTGCTAACATATTTATAAAAGCAAAAGGAATTTATTTGAACCTAAATATATAAAAATGTATAGTAAAATATTTAATGATAAAAAACCAATTCGTGAGGTATTGGCTGGATGATCAGAAGAAAGATGGCATTGAAGCATTTTGCTCTGCATGTTGAATCAGGTTGGATATTAAGAAATATTTTTTCACTTAAAGAGAGGAGAGTATGCATTAGAACACACTCCCCAGGAAATGGTTGAGTCACCATTTCTGGAAGTGTCCAAAAAATGAGTAGAAGTGGCACTTGACAATATACTTCAGTGGGCATATTGGTATTTGGTCAAAGGTTGTGTTTGATTATCTTTGATAGTAATTCTATGATTCTATTAAGTTAGGTAGCATGGTTAACATGGGCTCTGAGAAAAAATAGCCAGTAATTCCAGAGGGTCAGGTCAAATATAAGCTCAAGCTGACCCCACTCCTATATATAGATAGGCAGAGTTCTGAGTGATGAAAAGCTTATTTTAGACTTGTTACAAGTTATTGCATATCAAATTGTATAAGTGGCTGTCTCTAAATGCTCTCTAAATGCTATCATACTCTGATTCTGAAATCCTGAACTGAATGAAAAAAAAGAAAAAAGAGAAAAGGTTGAACTCCCTGCCAGAAATTCCTAAGAAAAATTCCCAGAACTTGGTAAGGGCACTGGAGTTCTGAGTTTCTAGAAGTATTAGAACAAAACTCAATACCAGAAGTTGGGCAATCAACATAGTTTGGTGGAGATATGAAAAGTTGTTAGGACTGAAATCCTAAGCAGAACATGTACTGGTGGTGTCTCGTTCATGTACAAATAAGTGAAGTGAACAGTCTGGGGTGTTCCTTCTTATGGACAGTAAATAATCTGCTTGCAAATAGCACGTGCATTTCCATGCACATTCATGTTCTGCAACACGCGTTCTTCCTGAAGTCCTAGTTTTGTTTAAGACATTGGTTTTTAAATAATGGTTAATATATTGTATTTATTGATGTCATACATTTTTCAAAGACTACCAAGAAAACTTGTCAGCAGTTCACTGGAAAGATAAAGTGAATTGTTAAAATTAAAATGTCATCTACCAGCTGGAAACACTTCATTGCTTATTAATAGTAGAGCAAGGGTTTTGAGATGTTAATTCCAGGGTTGCACCTGTATAGTTTAAAGGCATATTCATGTGGACATAGCCTGGGAATGTATCCATGTAGTGGAGAGAATAACCTTGTATGCAGTTGTTTGCCATCATCCTACATTTAGCTCCTGAGGGGTAGACCCTTTTTATTTGATTGTTCTTTATATATTCCAAGGAATATATATTCCAAAGAATATTTTAAGATCGTGGTGAATATTTTTAATGTTTCTTGACAACATGCTGACTGACAGGCTGCTATGGGTAGACTGCTTTTGATACTTAGGTCTTGATATTACTTTAAAAACATTCATAGTTTTTCACAGCTTGCAGTGTAAACTCTATGACTATTTTAATAATTAGTAGTCCTTCTTTAAATTTTAACTATATTATGTCAAACTGGGCCCTGTTGAACTGTCTCCAGCTCCTCATTCTTGAAACAAACTGTAAAGTTTAAATTGCATAATCAGGGATTTAAGTGAGTTGTTTACAGTGGAAACTCCTTTGCATTTATTTGACAAGAAATGAACATGAAGACATCTTATACTATATATAATTGACGTAATATAAGGAATATTTTCATGCGTGTGATGGTGCATTTTATCCTCATGCAAGAGAGGCAAATATAATAAGTGTAGGTAATACACCTACTGGTAACCATGTGTTTGATTACTGGGAAAACAGTAATCATAAGCAAATTAAGATATGAGAAATAAAAATGAAGGGTGATCTTTCCATGTTTCTTGTGTAAACTCAGTTTACACTCCAGTGTGGACAGTTGTGATTAGCCTTCCCTTTGAAATATTCCAGCTTCATGGAAATTGTAGTCACTAACTCCTGGCTAATGGTAAACCCCTCTTTTTCCAAAGCCTTTCCCCTGTACTGTGTGCATATATTTATAGTAAAAGTAAAATTACTTTCTTCTATTTTGATAATTGGAGAATATCTAGCAAAACAAATATATTTAAAATATATAAATTTTGACATTGTTTCATAATACAAGCAAAATATAAACTGAGTTTTATTATATGAATTACATATGGGTTTTTTTGGCATATTCTGGTACTGATGTTATATCTCTTAATTATTTATTTAAATAATGAAACAATTTGATCTAAATTCACCTTTTATCACAATATGATCAGTATTAGGAGAACTTACACTTAGAAATGGGAAAGCTCTGGAGCTATGTGAGGACAGATTTCAAAATGGTAGTAGACTTTCAGACAGATTAGTTTCAAAGATATTATTCATACTGAAGTTATGACTGCTTTCAAACAAGGAAATAAGCAATCTGACTTCTTGACTTGCTTTCAGAGATTTATGCATTTTTTCTTCCTAACTGAAATACTGCAGAAAATCCCAAATTTTAGCTATCTTCTTGATCCATAATCTCCCACTGCCTTCTCAGAATAAATATGTGAATCATCTAGATAATTTTATGTTTAGAAACATATATCTTATTATTTTGTTAATAAGTCCAATGTTCTTAAACCATAATGTTATGATTATAATGTTTTCTGTTTTGTGTTGTGTATCATTCCTTCTCCATCTTATTGTCTCATATCTATTTTTCTTTCTGCCATCACCTCAGTCATTATGTTACTTTACCTCGTTCCCGGTACACCCAGTCCTCAGATCACCATTACAGGGATGTCAGGTATATGTTTTCCTCTGTGTGACTCTGTGTGGGTAATGCATGTACTGTGTACCTACATGTCCACTTCTGGTTTTATTTGTCTGTGTATAGTGGTAGAAAACTTAGAAGTTGAGTTAGTATCATCATTAGATTTGTTAACATAGCATGCATACAAACACTGGGTAATTCTTCCTGTCTTTCACTTGAATATTTTCTCACTGCCAATAGTCTATAATTGATGGTCCTCAAAGATAATTCTTTATTTATATCACTCCGATGTCTTTTAGAGAATATATAAAGTAAATAATTGAAACCAGCAAACACTAATACCTGCTAATACTGTGATTTTAGTGTGCATAAAATCATATATGACTGTGTTAAAGGTTATGATAAAACTGGAGAGTGATACCTTTCCTAGTCTTGTAGCTCTTGTAGCTGTGAGCTAATATACTTAAATTTTTAAAAGTAATTTTGCCAAGTTCACCGATGTTGCAGTCATGTTTTGTTCCAGTTTTTTGTTTTGTTGCTGACATTGCTTGTTTTTCATGGTGTTTGTCTTCATTTCATCTTTTTGTTGCTTTTCATTGTGTTCACCCATTCTGTTTTGGCAGCCAGGATCACACAATGTATCCTCTGTTTTGTGAAGATGCAATCAGATTGCTCCGCTCCCGTACGATGTGCCGTACCTATTCTGAGGGTGCTTACTATGATCTTGAGAGGTATAACTCATGTGGATACACCATTAGCTCTGCCACACTGACACTGCCATGTGTCATTTACAAACTGGGAACGTGATCTGTGTTTTAAGAGATAAACACATGCAGTGCATATGTTTTTATAATACTCTGAGTATGTATGCATCTAAAAACTGTCTACTTGGGGCCGTGGGTAAATCCCAAGAGGAACCAAATAGCTCTGGAGAAGCCAGTTTTAAATAGATTATATGGATATTATATATCTGTGTCTTTTATAACCCTTATTTTTGCTGGAATTTTCCAGAGTGCTTGTAGTATTTATTATTCTCTTTGAAATAATAAGGAAAAGCCTATCTACTTTAAAGTACACAGAAAGAGTGTCTTCTGAAGTCTTATACTTTTGTTAGCTGAAAAATAGAGTGAAAAGTAAAAGTGTATGCCTATATAAGCTTGGTTGTATATATTTATATATTGCATATTCTGTGACTTAGGAGTACTTGTACACACAATACCTGTGTGTGATTACAGAACATCATAGTTCCTATTTACACAGGAAATATATGGAGAGACAATTCGAGCCCATAACAATTTCTGTAAAATAACTTGCCACTTGAAATACAGTGGCCTTTAAGCTATGCCGCTCAAATACGGTAATTAAGATATTTTCAGAAATGTTGCAAACTGAAAAAGTTTACATAGTTGTGTGTAAATAGAAAGAAGAATATCAACCTAAATAAAAGGAATAAAAAGGAGGTGGTGACTTCAGATCAGATACAATATTCGATAGAGGCGTTGCTTTACAAGAGGGGTCATGTAAAAATTTCCAAAGCAAGAAGTAAAGAACTCTTTATGTATTAACTTCATGGCTGCCCTCTGGATATGAGTCTGGGAAGTTCATTAATGCTTGCTTTATATTCAGATCATATGTCACCACATTTTTAAGTGAATGTGAAATTACTTTTGGATGTAGAAACTAAAATGGATCTGAAAAATCCTTTGAAAGAAATATTTCTTTTTTAAAATTCTCCAAAGCTATAGCGTATTAAACATTTTAACATTTGGAACTCAGTCAAGCATTTGAAATTATGCTGTTTTACATGAAAACCTAATATTAAGGAAGTGTATAAATAGGTATGTCCACATGTAGCAACTTCGATAAGGAGAGGGATTTTTTGTTTGTTTTCTTAAAATGCATGATGAAATGTTTTCATTTGTATGCTATTTCAATAATTAATTTTTATATACTTGTTTTTTTTTTTTGCCTTAGACATATACTCTGATTTGCACTAGTTTCTCTGAACCTGTTTCACATTACTGGTTATGTCAGTGACTGGATATTAGTGAAAGTTGGAGCTATTCTCTCTGATTTGCACTAGTTTCTCTAAACCTGTTTCAGATTACTGGTTATGTCAGTGACTGGATATTAGTGAAAGTTGGAGCTATTCTCAAATTGTCTTACTTTGAGGTTCTTGATTTGTAAATCTCAATCTTTGTTTCTGAAATTAATCTCAAAAATAAAGTCAATGAAAGTAAAGGGCAAAAGTTACAGTACTTCATAAAGATGAAAAAGCTAGGATTTAAGCAGTTGGAGAATCTTTTCCAGGGCTTTATGGAGCAGAAGGCTATTCAAGCTAATTCTGCCTGGGATCAGAAATGAAAATCTGACATGAAGTGGAATATTTCTAGCTTACTGTTAGAACAGTACTGTTTCTCAATATTCCTTGGGCCTAGAAACTAATCCTGGATTCTATGATCCTCTTGAATCCAGGCTGCCTGAGGGTAACCTTAGTGTTCAAGTTACTTGAGTCATTCTACCAGATATGAACTCCTCTGAATACCTCCCAGCCACAATTGTAGCTCCTGGATTTTCATCCTTTTTTTCTTCCTGTATTCTAACAGCAATTTAAGAATAATTTATAGCATAATTGTTTTTCAGTTTCTCCATAGACATTTAAAAACACTAAGTAATTTTCTATTCCTAATTTTTTTTGGAAATATATGAGCAATTACTTTTTAAATAATATTTCCTCATTTATCTTTGCACTTTTCACCAGTTCAGTGCTTACTCTAAAATACATTATTTTCTAGGCCAAGGTGTTATTCCTGTCTTCTTTGTTTTACCTTCTTAATCAATGTCTTGTTGATATCAAGCAACCACATCTCCTCCAGTCTTCCACTTCATCATGCATATGAACTTTCCAGTTTCCACTATTCATCAAAATAGCAAATATTGCTCTGTACAGTCCAACATTCAGGAAAGAGTTTCTCATCTGGGACAGAGACTTTTTTTTATCTCATGTCACTCTGAATCCATCAGTGTCTGTGTCCTGCAGGCAAATAAATTATATAGACCTATGAGTCAAAATTACTTGCCTTTGTTATTCATGGCTTCATTGCTTGTCTTGTAGTCATTCACAGCCACCCCATTAACTCTGTGTTCTCTTCTAGCATTTTTTTCCTTTTGTTTTTTCCCCACAGAGTGACTACTTGGTTCTCTTTCATATTTCTCTGTTGAAGTTTGTGTCAGTCACTGTTTATCTGACAGACCTCCATTCACTAGCCCTAGAACACATTTACATTATCAAAAACCTTAATTCCTCAGGTCGTTCTTAGGTTATGGCATTCATGATTTTGCTTTCCTGATAGCTCCTCCCTTTTGAAGAAGTCCAGCTCTTTCCCTCCCAAAAGGAACAGCAGCATTGACAAGATATTTACTTCAGCATATGCCTAAGAAAGGCAGAAAGCACCTGTGCATCTTCAGGGACTTCAGAGCCCTTAGGACCTGGGGTCTTCCCAAGAACATCCTGCTGCTCAGTGCCCCATGTTCCCTTGGCTGTTCAGAGTTACAGTCAGCACAGCAGCACCAGCTGGGATCAGCTCACCCCGCTGCAGCTACTCACACTGCATGTGCACAAGGCACCATGGCTGGACATGCTGAGCTTTACTTGCACTTTCATTTATAGCCCCCAGTTCAGAATCCTGCAGAGTTATATGGGCTAATTCATAATTTGACAGTAACACATTTAAAATTGTCTGACACACCAACGACCTCAAAACCACTGTAATGTTCTCAAAGTTCTTATTCTTAACCTTGTCCTGGTATTTAAAAAAATATTAGCAATTCATTCCAAATAAAATTATGCTGCAAACCTCACTCTATGAAATTCTTTCTCAACTTACCTACCTCAGAGCTCAGCTTAATCAGCAAGAACATGACACTGTGCAATTCATTTTTTCCACTTAGCCTTTAAGTTTAGTGTCTGTAGGTCCATAAAAGCTGGTTTGTGAATGTTTTGTGCAGGTTGTGATGTTTCTTTCAGGCAGAATTTCTGTTGTTCCACTTAAGGAAATTAGATTTTTCTTCTGTCTTCTTTCCTGACTTTTGTTTTACCCAGCAGACATTTTCTAACATCCAAATCTTACTTTTAGTGAACATTCTCTGTTGTTCAACTACTAGTTTTCTGTCAATGCAAGTTTTTTCTTCTGTGAAATATGTGTGCATTGATCAAATGTTCTTAGTAAGTTGTTAATTATTTCTGAATAGAATTTGAAAGCAGAATTTTAAATTTCATATATATATATATGAAAATATATGTTCAGAGTATATAGCTGAATTGAAGATAAATGAGCTCTATCTTCATCACAACTTAATAATACAGTAAAGGAATACATAATGAAATAAGCACCCTCTAAAGTATCTGAAATATCTGTGCTATTTATTCCATATTCAGGAGGACTAGGCAGGAGAGAAGAGTGCCTAATTCATATTATGATGACACAGCCTATACTCCTGAAAGGTATTTTAATTTATATAGTAAAAATAGATAGAGTTGACTAATAAATTTTTATGAAGCGTAGTCTAAAATTCTAATTGACCTAGACTAATGATATTTAAATTTACAGTGCACTTTATGCCATATTTCTCTAAATACAGAACAACTAATCTCCATAGTTTTAAGTACCTCATTTTCTTTTTAGCCCTCCATTAATTTGACTTTGGATTTTTTGGAGCATAATTCCTAACTTGAAAAATTTTTATTCATTAGATGTGGGAGGAAAACTGAATAGTACAGAGGATCTTAGGTACAACTGAAGGTTTTTTCTCAGCTTAACTGCACCATAATTCTAATGGCTAACCTTCTCTGTCACTAGAAGTGATTCTAGGTCAATTTACAGTCCTTATTTTCATTCTTTCAATAACCTGAGTACCCTCAGATGGTACTCAGTTTTTAGTGTGTCACTGCCCACACTGACTTAAAAAAGGACTAAGCAAATGCCTTCAAATTGGTTTTGAGTGTTTGTTGTGCTAGGAGCCAAAGTACTATTGTTCTTCCTAAATTTTGTTACGTGTATAATGTATCACAATGAGCATAGTATCTCTAAAATCTGGCATGTAATCTGAAAAGTTTCAGAGTGTCTCTAGAAAGAGTTATTTGATAACAGCTTTTCATGTTTAAACAGCTAGGCCAAAAGAGAAGGAAATCTGAAGAAAAGAGCAAATCAGTTGTCCTCTCTTTAAAATTAGATGTTTTATACTTCTCTGTCCATTTTAAAATCAATGTCTCATTTTTGTCTACGTTATGGGAATAGGTAAAACAGGGATTTTTTCCTAACAAATGGCAAGGAATTTTCCTTTTATTTGATTGCTATAAATAAATACATATTTAAGAAAAAATAAAGTGCACTGCAATTTTAACCCCATATTTATGTATTTATGGTGTCTGCAATATAGTAGATTTATCAAAAACTCTTATTTAAAATACTGGTTAACTGGAGAGACTGGCTTCAGTTTTGAGGATATGGATTATCAGAGAGAGTGTAATGATGTACCTGTCATACTCCAGCAGTATTCTAATTTATATGGGATTAAATCTAAATCTAATCTAAAACTCAATTAGATTAAACTGAAATGACTTTCATCCAGCCGTTGATCTGGCTATAAGCCATTAAAAAACCAAAAAAGTCACTCCACATACCATCCAGTTGGAGAGAGAATAAACAAGAGTAGCTGATTGACATTCACATATATTGCACCCCATATGGTCTTCCCTCAATATAATATCCAGGAGATGTGGGGTTATTAAGTTTGTAAACATGATGTAAATGCTCAGATTCTGCAGTGTGAGAAGTTTGGAGAGAAGGCAGACAAGGACAAAATACTGCTGTGATTCCCAGGAACAGATTCATCAAAATTCTTGGATCTGTGTCCTTTAGCCTATGGCTAATATTTTAAGTACATATAAATAGGGTGGGTTTTTTACCAAATTGATGATATAGAGTGTCTCGATATTTTCTGATAATCCCTGTCTTCTCACTCACTGTCATGTGGAAATCATTGAATACAGACAATGTAGGAGTTCCATGGCTTTACCCTAGAGAGATCCTGAAAGTACAAAACTCCAGAGATTTAGTTGAAACTCCTTAGCCAAATGGTGGATGATTTGTATCTAGTTTTAATACACTGAAGTAGTGGCACATAAGCAGTTTATCCCCTGATTTCTTAAAGCAGCTTTTTTGTTGCATTATTTATTTTCTTGATGTTTTTTTCTTAAAATAAAATACTTCTATATGTGTTTTTGGTTGTCTTCAACTGGTATGCTGAAGTGCTGCTACCAATGCTTGGGCAGCCCATATTCAGTACTGGGAAGAACAATACCACTTTAAATTTTACTTAGTTTTCATTGATCATTGAAGCAAATTTTCTTCTGCTTCTTACATACCTGTGAGAAACCAACTACCCTATCAAACAGAAAAAAAAAATTACTTGCAAGGTTATGTATTTGAAGTTAAAAGCAATATTTTAAACTCTTAATGCACATTGTTATTTTTGTTCAGGTTTTGTCTCCATAATTAGTTTTTTTTTATTATTCCACAAGCTCAATGGCCATTAAAAACATGAAGACATTTATGTATGCAAAGATAAGCAATCAATTAGTCTTCATGTAACTAAAGTTTATGGCTTAACTGCTGAAAAGACTAGAGGTAAAAATATAATAATTCTATAAGGAAAAAAGCCCTATAAGTATCTTGGTGTTTGGTTTTGAAAAGTTGGTTTTCTTCATACCTGAAAGAAAATATGAAATGTACAAAATTAATTTAAAACATTTGGAAATCTTCCCATTTTGTTAGGACTTGGTCATGTCACATGAATTAGAGTGTTAATAGTAATACATCACTTTTTAATAACACTTCTTTATTTTGACTGCATTGTAAAGGTGGTACAATGGTGCAAGTTCATGGGCAGATGATATAGTCAATGGTTCAGCTGAAAAATATGGGTAAGTAAAGAGTGTAGTGTTGCAGATAAAACTAAAATGTATTTTGGATCTTTATAATAATTGTACCAAATTTATTCCTAATAAATGTATTTTTCTTGATGTCTTTCTTTCTTGACTCAGAACTAAAGCACTTATGTTCTAGTCTTTTTTGCAATATTGAACTTTTATTCAGTTACAAATAGAAAAAGAACATTAATTATGTTCAAACTATTTTTAAAACATGTTCTCACTGTTCAGGGCCACTTTAATGAAAAATGGCTTTTTAGTGATACCTGCCTACATCTGCAGTGTTGGGGAAGGTGTCTTTGAGACCTGATATTTTTTTACTTTTAAAAATAATCCCACTCCTATCTGTCTAACCTATCTTCCTTTGTGATTGATGCATAACCCATGTAAAGTGCTTTGTGCCTTAGAATCTGTACTTCTTCCCAGTTGTAGCTGGCTTCTGATCAAGAAAGCACACAAATGTTCCTTGCTTTTAGTTCATTGACTTTACTGCTTCCCCCTCATTTTCTTATTGCTCTTGCAACAATTTTCTTTTTTTTTTACTTCCTTCCTTTGTGAATGTGAACAGAGAACATGAGAGACTGTTAAACTGAAATGCAAAAAATCTGATAAAATCCAGAATGAATCTGTCAATATTTTAATGTGGGCTTCTCTCTTTAGAGAGGAGTGATTTGTGAGGGTCTTTAGGCTAAACATTATTGCAGTTGCATGGACTTGAGACTGTATATATTTTCTAGCTTTTTCAACCATGGTGCCATTGTTCATTGGCTCTTCATTTTTAAGTGCACAGCAAAGGCCATATTTATCACTTCATCCTGGAAACTGTATAGGCAAACTGAAAATGAAGAGCATTTAAATAAGGTTGGAAAGTGCTTGGTATAACTAAAGCTTTTGCTTTTGACAGTCACATGAAATAGTCCTGTCTTACTTCCCTTTTCTTACTTTTTATCCTGAATAGATGCTAACATAGGTAAATATCAGGGGTCAATATCTAAAAATAGTTTTTTTAACATGAAAAAGAAACTTATTAGTTACTACTCTCCTTCTTCATTTAAATATAGTTCCTAAAATGTTTGGCGAAAGAAAAAAAAATTTGTGAATGTGAACCATTTCATAATGGTTCACATGATTTCATAATGTGAACCATTATGACTTTTAAATAAAACATAAGGCCCAGATATTATATCTATGCCTTATAACTATTATAAGGCATCTATTATAACTTTAATAGAGTAAAGACTGCTGAAATGGATCAGATTCTGTAGAGATCAATGGATTTAGAGAATGCCTTTAACAGAAACTGAATGCTATTTTGCTCATTCATAATTTAAGAACTTAAAAAGATTATAAAGTCTTACATACCTGTTCCTGTTTGAATGATCTGATTGAAATCCTGGTCTCATCAAGGGACAAAACTCTTGATGTCAAGGAGGTCAGAATTACAGATCTGTTGGTAAAAGTTATGAAGAAAACCACGTAGCTGCAGTATATATACACAATAACTGCATAGTTTCAACTCTGGTTGTGGTAATTTACTATTTGAACATCTGCCATATTATGGGTGTTTAAAAATGTCACTGAAAAAAAAAGCCAACTAAGTATATGTGCCATATAGAAATAAAGTTATATTTAAGATCTGAGGAAAAAAATCCCAGAAAATCCATCAAGAACCAAGTACTTCTCAAATTGTGCATTTAGTACTGCATTTAAAAAGACATATTTAAGTTACATGATTGGTTTCAATCCTACAGCTACTTCAATTGATTAGTCTGTAGCCTAGGTGCTCTGCTGAACTACATTTGAATGTTCAAGATTTACTAGGAAATTCTTCTTTTTCATTGCTTCCCTCTCAAGGTCCTCTCTGCATTGTCTTATGTACCACTATACTTCAGTCATGAGACATGTTAATTTAAACCCAGGCCTGTTCCTGGTTTTGCTCATACATGGTAGTATAATATTCAAGTTGAGTGGTGAAATATTGTGTTTTGAAATGGGAAAAACTGTGGAATATATTTATGATATAAAGCTGAAAGTGTTATATTTTGGAATTTTTCCAGTACTTTAATGGAAGTTTAGACTATTATCTAGAGAGAATCACTGCAGTAGATTCAGTTATAAAACTGAGCTGGGGTGAAGGAGAGGAGAGGATTTCAGCTCTCATCTTTGAGAATTTTGAATTCCCAGCTTTTGAATCCTAATCAGCTTTATCATGATCTTCAGTGAGTCATCTCATGAACATAGAGATGTGTATTCCTGCAGGGTGATTCTTTTACATGTGTCAGTTGAGGGTCTGTGTTAAGGATGTTGAGAGTTAGAAGTAGCTGGCAAAATACAAGATACTATATAAGGCAGCTGGCTATATAAGTGAAAAGGTACATTGCAGTAGAAACAATAAAGTAAAAACCCTCTACAATTTTTTTGCACATAAAAATGGTATGGAATGCTTATAATTTCAGTCTTTCATGGATTTACAATAGTTATGTGTTTTATTGATATTTTATTGTAATATCTAGTATAAAGCTCTAACTGCATCAGAAGAATCATAAAATAATTTGGGTTGGAAAAAGCATTGTCTGGTCCAGCTCTCACTGTGGAGCATGACTTTGCCATTCCTCAGCAAATATATCAATGATGACACATATTTTGGAGAGTAAATCTCAACAGGTGTAGATATATATGCTTTCCTTAAGCATTTTTATGATTGTGCCATGCCATGTGTTAGCAAGGTCAGCTGTGTCGACAGCAGTCATGAAGTGAGTGCAGTGTCAGGTGCAGACACCTGAGCAAGCTGTGAACAATTGCAGCTCTGTGGCTGCAGCAGAACACAGGAGTGTGGAGCACAACGTGCCTGGGATCATGGCAGAGTTCCCTGCTTCATCTGCTCAGCTGAGTTAGCAGAATAGTTCAGACTCTGTCATGTTGCAGTTTAATCATGCCTGTCACTGGCATGGAGATATACTGGTAGTTATCCCATATACCACAGGGTAATATGGATGTGACCATATCATACAGTGTATGGATGCATGTATATATGTGTATATGTGTGTGTGTGTGCATATATATTACATATATAAAAAAATTATAGACTATTACATATAATTCTTGAAAAATTATATTACTATTACAGTATTATATTACTATTGCAGTACACTATTACAACAAAAATATCTCACTTTACCTTTTTTTTTTAAACCAGTGTACTTAAAAGTTTTACAGTCCTGTCCTTTAAAAACTAAAGCAGCGTATGATTTTATATTAGGTTCCTTTATGAGTATAAATGAGTTTTCCTTTATGAGTATAGATGAGTTATTTGCTGAGATATCCTGTCTCCAGTTTTTCTAGAGATTTGACAGTGTGCTGCTCTTTTCCATTTTCCATTGCAATATTTATGACTCAAATTTAAGTTGTTTTGGTACTAGAAATATCATTTGTTTTTAGACATGCTTATCTATGTTATGCTAACAGAGGATCTTGTGTCTGTGACTAAACAGCAAAGTTCCTATAGCTAGTAGAAGAATAACATGTCCAAGGATTGAAATCCAGCAGCCATCCACAGACACTGACAGGTATTGCCATTGTGTATTAGCTGGAGTTTGAAATTATGATACTTAGAAAGTGTGTTGTTGTAATTTTCTTGTTCTGTTCAGTGTTTCTAGATGAAAAAGATGCACTAGGAACTGTATTGTAGTGTACTGTAATCCTACAGCAATTCTATTTTTAGTTCTTCAGTTTTTTGTTACAAGAAAAACCTAATGTTAAAATGATGATTGGCATGATCTCATAATTTTTACAGAGTAAAAGAATTTAACATGGGCTTTTAAATAAATAGTTTTCAACCATTTGGGGGGAAAAAAAAGATCTATTTGTTATGTAAACTGTTACAATTGCTTACTGTTGGAAAATGTTAATCTTTTATAAAACTTTCTCTATCCATAAGTTCAGATCAATGACTATAATAATTTGTTGAAAATTCTTTTTATTTGTTAAGAAAAGTAGCAAATCTGAAAAATTAAAAATCAGAAAGTCTTATTTACTGCATTGGGAAAAGAGTTCACATTTGAAATTTGCAGTGTACATATATATATACATATATATAAATCAAGATAAATCAGTATATAAAATAAATTTTTTTAGGATGTTTGGTTAGGTACTACAGCAACTAGAGTTTACAGTGGTACCTAAATGACATTACATTCTAGTTCTAATACTTGATGGATTTGGAACATGAAGTTAGACTGTGAATACTCACAGAGCTTTCTGTGTAGTGACTTACAGAGAACTCTGACAGTCTCACAGGGATTGGCTTGCTTGGTTTAGAAGCAAACACTGCTGTACCTTTTCCTAAGAGTAAGGGAGACTTATGCTTACAAGTCTTGCAGACTTTGGCATGGAAATTAACCATCTACCATGTCTGTCTTCCCTAGCAAACGTAGAAGGCTGCTACAATAGGCAGTACTAGATGGAGGAGGCCATTATTTGACATTTCATTAACTGCATTTTCATAAAGAAAAGTCTGTTAGCAAAGGTAAACAGTGCTAGTGTCCATTAAAATATTATATGGATGTTGAATAATTTAACTAAGACAACCATATTTCCCTCTTTAAAAATCAGTAATTCATATTATATTATTTGTAATGAGAAAAGAAGAAATTTTCATCTCGATAATTTGTAAGCATAAATCTTTAAGAATGATATCTGAAAAGTTAGAAAATTGAATTTTTAATTTAGCTTAGTTCCATAAGTATTGCTGGATTTTTACCATATTTCCCTCTTTAAATCAGTAATTCATATTATATTATTTGTTTATGTTATGTTTATTATGTTTATATTATATTATTTGTAATGAGAAAAGAAGAAATTTTCATCTCGATAATTTGTAAGCATAAATCTTTAAGAATGATATCTGAAAAGTTAGCAAATTGAATTTTTAATTTAGCTTAGTTCCATAAGTATTGCTGGATTTTGATTTTCATGCATAATTGTTTACAGTGGTAAGCAAGGGGTGTCACTGCACAAGCAGGTTATCAGATAGTTTTCCTGTAAAAGGGACAGTTGCTGAAGACTGGGATCATGTAGTACATGTGTTCACTGTTAAAAGGATAAAAGAATAAGTGAGGATGAAGACCAGAGAGTAAAACTATTTTTTTAATTGCTCTTTATATGTGTATGATGTAAAATCACAAAGTGAAGCTTTCAAGTGGCAGACTGTCCCCTCAACATAGCCCTCCATTTGCTGTAGTGCTTATTGAGAGGATTGCAGCCTGTAGCCTGAGGGGGACAATCAGTTGGACCTCAGGACTCAACTTAGTCTCCAAATCCTTCAGTCTACAAAGCAGCATTGCCTCAGCTTCAAAGGTTTACTGCCAAAATCCACCCTCTCCTTCACTTCGGGGAACTCCCAGCTGTAATTGCACTTGAAGGAAATGCCCACTGGAAGTTGTAGCAAACTTAGCTACTGAGTGTGACATTTTTGAGGCCTTTACCTGTTTAGCTGCAGTTGCTCCATGATGTTCTGCAGAGCATAAAACCTGCCTGCTAAGCCATTAGTATTGATCCCAGTGGAAAGAATGCCTCCTTCCTTCTAATCAGGCAATAGGTCAGACCTCTAATATCCTAAAAACTACTTTTTATACCTATAGACCTAAAGAGAATGAGGCCTTAAGAGTAACAAATGGGAGCCTTAACTTCTCATGAAGCCTTTATGAGAAACATGTGCTTGCCACCCACCTGTTCCTCTGTGTGTCCTACTGGCTGTTGGAAGGAGAGAGGAATGGAGCATGGAGTGACACCCTTACCATACTGCCCAGTCCCTGCTGCTGGGTGCTCCAGCAATCCTCTACTCACTGACAGGACAAATGCCCACAGACCCAAAAAAGTCTCTGTAGGCTCATAAATATTCTTAAATATGTGGATAAAAAAGATAAGGGTGGATTTTGCAAGACCTGGAAAGAATTATTTGTAATTTTGTTGAACTTAGGAGTATTTTTTCTTGAAATTTATTCCCATAGTCAAAGAATGTATTCTATGGTCATTTCTTGCCATCATGCAGATGGGTGACATTTTTCTCACCTTCCATAACACTGAAACCTCACTTAAACTGTTACCTAAACTAAACAGCATTCCTATCAAAGCTAAGGTTGTGTTTCTCTGTCTATCAACAATGTAAAAGAAGCGAGACAGTGGATGTTTTTGCTGATGAAGCTTCCTATTCAGAAACAGAACTGATAGAAGAAGAAGTGAGGTAATGTTGTGGTTTTGTACCAGGCTCATTGTACTTTTCCTACAATCTTTAGTGCCTCAGCTTATAATTACCATTTATGTGTCTCACTGTGGTGTGTTTGCTTGTTAGGAGCTTATAGATGTAGGTTCATGATGTATGGTATTATTCTGTATCTGTCTGTGGCAAGTCATTTGTATGCTCTAGGAGTGCAATTATGACCTCATGGAAGGCCTGAAAATACTTTTTAATGAATACTTTATAAACTCATTCAGCAAAATCAGCCACTATACTATTTTTCAATGTTTTTAGAAATAAAATGCTGTTACTAACATACAAGTCTTCATAATAAGGCTGTGGTATGTCTCTCTCCTTTTTGATACTAATTAAAATTTGACTTCTTGTTACACTTAATCACCATCAAGCCACTCATTGTATTAACTGACTTCATTGTAAAATGCATGACTTCACTCAAGGAAAAGTCCTGAAGGGTACACATTCCCCATTTGTATTCTGTATCTGTTCAGTTATTCAAGGAGAGCTGGGAGGAGTGTGGTTTTAATAAACAGCTCCATTAGGGTCTGGATTTTACTTTTTAAATTGCCTTGATTTAATGTATTTCAGGATATTGCTAACAAATATTACTCCTTGAAAACAGACCAATTCCATTGAGAAAAAAGGTGGGGCTTGATTAATTTCTGAAAGTAATGGCCTGATTAATAGACTAAGATAGTAGAAGATATCACTGCTTGATCAAGAAATTCTCTTTTACTCAGTCTAATTTCTTCCCATTACATCTCTAACAATAACTTTTTCCACTGCTGTTTTGGTACAGTTCCATAGGCTATGGGTTAAAAGGATTTTTGAATTACAAACCAATTTTTTTCTAGTTGTTGGAACCTCTGTAAGTACTAATGACGTAGATTTTCATCTGGTTACAGTCTCAGCACCACATATGAACCTATCACTTATTGACTAGCATATATATAACAGACATCCCCAAGTCTAATAATAGTTAATAGTACTACATGGTAATTATAACATCTAGATTGTGGACTTTTCTACAAACGAGAGTGCTACTTCTATTGTCTAGAGACAATGCAATCTCTAAGAAACCTGTAAAAATCTATTCATATGAGAAAAAATGCACAATTAAACTGCACTATTAATGAGTTCTTAGCTTTATTGAGACTTAATATTATGTCAGCTACTCTTTTATTCACAGGTTGATACATTAATAGACAAAATAACAATATTTTAACCCAGAAGTTTTCAGGAAACAGACTATTGCATGGATAGTCATAACTGAGACATTGGAAACATTTCAGCCCATTTATCAAGAGTATGGAGCAAGTCAAATCATACGTGTAAAGAAACTATATGTTATCAGGAAGTTATCTCAGAAAATTTATTCCCCCTAAAAATGTATGTAATAAAATGATTTGCTCCAAACCAGTATCATGCAGCATATTTTATAACTAATAGAAAAGTCAAAGTTCAACTGAGCTGCTTTTTGACTAACATTACAGGAATTGTGAAGCAGCAGATAGACAGCCATATCAAAGATCCAGATCAACAGAGCAACGTCCTGTGCTAGAGCGGACCAACTCCCGCTCCCGATCCACAGAGCGTCCTGACTCAAACCTCATCAGGTCGATGCCTTCATTAATGACTGGAAGATCTGCCCCTCCTTCACCTGCCTTACCGAGGTGAAACAGACAAATCAATCGGACTAAACCCCTTCTGCCCCACCAGCTCACCATTTTATTTTCCCAGTAGCTAATTGGTATCGCCTCATCCTTAGCTGATTGCTAGCAGCAATAGATACTAACCCTTTCAGTGTGAACACACTATTTATATTCTACTCTGGATATAATGGTGTGGCTACCATTGCAAATTGCTTGCTAACAGTATTTAACTATGTTTGTTTATGATTTCTCATTTGTCAGGAATCCTGGATGGTTTCCACATAAAGCACCTCATAACTATCATATTCTTCTCTTACAGAATGAGTAATTATTTGTGTTCATCAGACATTGCTTATGGAGCAACCATCATAACATCAAATGAAACTATTTTTTTAAAAAAAAAGTTTCTTTAGATGCACTGTACTAACTTTGTCTCTTACTTTTCATTTTAACCACCATTTTCTCTGACTACATTTTACTGTGCCATAGTCTGTACTGTTCCTGTTTGAGTACCCCTTATCGATATTTTGAGAATTTCTGTATATTATTCTTAGCTTAAACAAGCATAATACAATAAAAAGATGAGCACATTCTGATCTAGATCATGTTCAGGAAAACCCCTCTGTATTTTAGAACTGCAGAATACCTTCTTTTGTTTTCTGAAAGTTAGAGTTAGTATCATCAAATCCCCAGTGAAAGTTGAGTCGAATATCATTGTCTTTCCTCAGTTCATTACTCTGTTTAGACAAATTCACGTAAGCTCACTGCAACTCAAAGGTAATTTAAAAAACAAGCTGAGTAAAGATAATTGAATTTGACTTGTGAATAAATTTATGTGTATGTGGCTATTATATCCATATGCACGTGAATATGCACACAACACATTTTCTGGCTTGACTGTGTGAAAAACCTTCTTATGGAAGCATCCTCGGCCTTAATTTGGCTTCCTTTTAATGGAGAGATTTCTCTTTTTAATCAGGTCTTTTTCTGAATAGAGATAATAGTTTCCCTCTTGGACTGCAAGAGTCCCAAGTGATGTAAAGTCTATTTAGTCACATTATCAGTTCTTGATGATATTTAAGAATGACTTTGTCATTTAATGGCTGTGGTTTGTTTTGATATGTGTCTCATAGGTCACATCCTCGAACTGGGTCTGTCCAGACAAGTCCATCAAGTACTCCAGTAGTGGGGCGAAGGGGCAGGCAGCTACCACAGCTCCCACCAAAGGGGACGTTGGAGAGAAGTAAGTGGATGCTTTTCTCCCTAATGATATTACCAAATTGCTCATCAAGGTCGATTATATTCATTATTTTTCTTTTGCCATTACAGTTGAAATCTCTTGCGTTTTTGTGTACAGAGTTGGGATTTGGTAATGGTATTGCGTTTTCTACTGTGTTTTCAATTATGTTTTAACACCTATGAGACTCTTGGCTGACATGAATAATCAGCAGTATAATGCACACAAGGTGGACTATTACCATGATCCTGTTCCTTTTGAACTCAGTAGGTGTTTTGTCATTGACTTCAACAGGCACAGGAAATTATCCTTAGTATGTTGTTTAGTGACAAAATTCTGGCTCTTTTGGGAGTCAGGAACCTAGTTGATGACTTGTGGGCTCCCCTGGAGTGTATTACAGAATGCTTATATAAAACCTCTGCATCTTGAGAGAGGAAGAGCAAGAAGACAGGTAATAATCTTTAAAACAAGAAATGTCAGATATTTTCTGATTTACGTTTTACTGGTACTGTAATTGTGCCTATCTTTAATGTCTGTTAAAAGCACTGGTTGATGGAGATATTTTCTGAAATGTTTAGAAACAAAGGTATATAAATGCATTCTTGACAGCAAATACATTTTCACGATTCTGTTTCTACTAACTAGGCGTGCCGTGCAAAATCAGTCTAAATGGCCATAAACACTCCTTTTTTTTAATCCTTCTTAACATGTATATTGTATCTTTAAAAAAATTCTGTTGTTTTTAACCCCTGTACTTTGGTTCCTTTTTTTGTTTTGTTTTTGTTTTTGTTTGTTTTGTTTTTTGTGACTTTCCGTAGACAATGGAGACAAGGAGATAGAGTCTTATGAAGGTCTGTACATAAAGAAGGGCTTGTTTTTCACCTGAAAGCCTTTTTTCAGAGGCTGTATAGGGAAAAACAAACCCAACTGCAATTGATGTTACTTGATTACACAGACATAGTCAGAATTATTGTCATAATGATTTAGTCTTTATTTTTAGACCTGTGGCTCAAAAATTTTACAGGATTCTGTATAAAAAAGGACAATATAAATAATACTATCTAAATATGATTGTCATTATAAAAGTACCCAAGCCTGTACTCATTTTTAAAAACCTAGAATTTACCCTATGGCAAATAAAAGCATTTCAGCAGTTATGTATGTACATTTCCAGGATTAGCAGATATTCAGGCACATGTTTATATATAAACATTGGAGGATATTTCACATGCTTTATGTTAGCCATTCATTTAATCAGAATAATGTTTTTATTGCAAATATTTTATTTTTTATAGTGTGATACATTTGCTGAATTAGTAGGCAATTTGAAAATATTTTGGGAAAAAATATTGCATTGAGATAGTCTTTCAAAAAGTTAAAATATTTTTGCTTAAAATAAAATCCCCTTATATTTTACAGTATTAAAACAATTTAATTTCCTTAATAACAAGCCACAAGATATCAATTGCAGTCCTTGGTTGTACCACTGAGGGTCTTTATGTAGTATTACTGTGTTTGTCTCATCAGACTTTTTAATTTAGTATTTCCAATGTTTACAGTATTTATTTCCATTTTGGAAACAAAACTTCATGAAAAGAAAACTCTTGTTTTTTCAGATCATCGCTCTATTATATTAATTTCTTTGTCACCTTATGTGTTGTGAATTGCTTATATGAAATAGAGTCTAGATATTCCAGGAAATAATCACATCTAATCACATGATGTTTGCTGTCATTGCTCTATATGCTTTTATGTTTTTCCACTCTTCCCTGCTCTTTGCTTAGTATATCTATTTAGACTCTGAGCTCCTCAGAGCAGCAATTGTGAAGTGCTGTATATTTTTACTGCGTTTGATTAGAGTGGGTTGAAGTCTTATTTATTATTTACATCATAGGTTCTATAGAGAGAAATGTAATAAATACAATAAAATAACTATTTTTATAGGAATTCTAGAATTTTTCCTATGGTAAGTACTGGTAGGACTTGAGGAAATGTCTTTTTATTCAAAAACTGAGCACTATTTTCCTTTTACTTTGTCTTTTGAAAAAAGTAGTCTTTTGGAAAATCTGGTTATGGAAAATTGTCAGATCCATAGATTCTGATGTTCTAATGTGCAATCAAAGCATCATAAGTGACTCAAGATACAGTAATAAGAAATTTCATATTGAACTTAGATATATAAAGATGGTAAACACTCTTAAAAACCTAATCCATAGGTACAGCTTTCATAGAATATTCTATGTAATTTTCTGTCATGAATTAAGATCTCATATTATAAAACCAATAGAGTTTTTCTTTGAGGATTTTTCCATCCTTCTCTAGGATTTTCTTTCAAGGGAGTAATAATTTTCCTTAAAAAGGGTAGTGCTGTGTAAGAACAGCAGATTACCTAACTTTGTTCAGTGACAGAATATAATTAAGATTAATAGCAGTCTTTTTACTGTGGAGAATTGAATTTTACAGGAAGTTATTTTAAGCAAATGAAGTACGAGTTACAAAAACTGAAATTTAATAGAATTCGAAATACTGACTATCATAGAAGCAGTTTATGTTAATATTTTACAAATACAGCATCAAGTAAACATGCAAATTTTGTATATATTTGAGTAATTTTCAACGCCTTTTTTTACGCCCCAGTGATAAAAACTTTTGTGTGTTGTTGGGAAGGCTACATGACCATACCAAACACTGTTGTCACAGAGTAGTCCTTTCTGCTCTTACAGAACTCATACTTGACTCAAATGAGAGAGGTGTTTCCATATTGCATGGAAATGTGCTGTGAAGGTTAAACTTTCTGTATTTTGAAATCAAGGATTTTATTGTCAACTGGATTAAGTTAAAACCAAACTAATTAAAAGAGTTAGTTAAAGGTATCTTATAGGCAATGATGAATTGGAAGTCATCTCAGCTTTGTAAAAGAGAAAAAGAAAGAAGGAAAAGCATATCTCTTGCAGACTCCTACAGTGGCTCATTTAGTTTGCATACATTTGAATAATTTGTATTTCCTGCAAGGTTGTATCTGCATACCTTTTCTTTAAATGTCGTACAAATGCCAGAACTCAAGTAGAAAGAAGGGAGTAATTTGCTGCTGGAGATAATTTTTGTTACAGGGCAGCACTCACTAGAATGTGGAATATGGTGTGTTTATTTATGTCTGACTAGAAATGCAAGGGAAGGAATCTACAGGGAAAACCCCAATGCTTTGGGTAATTGTTCTCCAAATTAGGATCAGAATCAAAAAACCATTGATTTGGATTAGATTTCTTTCCATGAACTGTATTATGAGGCTGGGAGTTTTTGCTCCAGGACGTGTAGGTGCTTCTTGAATACTTTATTTCAAAATAGCTCAAATTGTTTGCTTTCAAGAAAGCTACCTGGGAGTAGCTATGAAGGACCATACCTATCTGTGGTGTACTGATCCAAACGTTTTATTCAGTGTCCCATGTGCTCAGTAGAACATACAATATCCTTAGTTATGTTGCATTTAGAGCCTTTTATGGTCATGATATTTTTGTTAATTCCTTAGGTTGCCACTGCTCTATTTATTGCAGTATCAGAATTTCCTGTTCAGAAGAATGACTGGGTATTTCTGAAATGTATGTCATTGCCTTGTCTACCCAGGCTAAACCTTAGCATCTAGGCAGTTTGGGTTTTGCTTTAGATTTTATTACTTCAGTATATTTTCATGTTTTGTGGCTTGAAAATAGTTCTCTAAAGATGTCTGGGACCACCTAACAAATTACTACTTCTGAAATGCCAGAAGACATTTTTTCAGCTATACTTTTGCTTGTATATTTTTAAATTACACTAGAGATAGAAATATCTTGTTTAAATGAACATTTATAGAAAGTATTGTTAAATTGAACTTGGTTTTAGAGCTGAAACGTTGATGTACTCTTAGTGTTCTGTATTTTTCGCACTAGTTGACAAGAAATAAGTAGTGCAGTATATATAGTTCTTAAGGGTTAACATTATTTTTTCTTTATTTATATGTGGCTACAATGTATTTCTTTGTTCTTACTTGCCTTGGCAGAAGGATGAAATCACTGACTGCTTACTCCTAATTAAAATGGAACACCATACAGTGAAAGTTTTCAGTGCATTGTTAATTACTAATCAGAGAGAGTACTTTTTCCTGATATAGATTTTTACTTTTCCTTTTAAAAATAAGCATAGCCCTTTCTTTCTTCTTTCCACTAAAACATCCCCCCAACCATTCACCCAATCCTAAATAAATAGAAGATCATGTTAGGCCAAACAGATGTAATAAAACCTTAAAATTTGGAAATGAAGTGCTCAGAAATTTAACAAATAGTAGAACTCAGTAAGGATTTGCCTTTCTATTTATGCTCCATCATAAAGACTTTAATTATATGATCTCATAATAATCTCATGTCTTGGGAAAGTTATTTCAGAACCTGTTAAGGCCTGACATTAATGCTGATTAACTGTCCTCTTTTAACTTCAGGTGTGGGTAATCTTTTTCCAGAATAAAATTAGATATGAAAATTAACAGGAATATGGAATTAACAGGAATACTTGATTAGATTTAATCAGGGATAGCTAAAAACCATTAGTTAGTGTTTGTACCTCTCAGGTACAGATTTGAATCTCATAAAGGGACAGAGGTATAGTGACAATGTACTGTTGCAACTCATGCAGTCTGGAATGGAAGCTACAGAGACATTTTGATGGTTAGGAAAGCACAGATACTACTGACAGAAGTACATGCCATTTATTTTAAGGGGTTTTATCTCATTTAGAATATAATTTAAATGAGAATTCATTCTGCAAAATGAAAATTAATTTTATAGTTGTTTACATAGCCCTTCCCTACTTTGATGGGAGACACAGAAAGGTGGTTATAATAAAATTGCAGAGGACCAGTATTGAGACTGGTCAAGATACTTGATCAGCTATGATTTTGCAGGGTTTTAAAAATATATGGCATATGGGTATTTTGTTTGATAAAAATGGTTGATCAGATGCATAGAATATAGGATAGGAGCTTAGATTACCTTCAGCTTGGCTATAAACTTGATGGCTTAGGCAAACACTGCAGTCTAAAAGATAGAAATATAGAACTTTGCACCATCTTTTTTGTGTGGATACTTCTGTGGCACTGGCCGTACTATGTTAGGAACCTTCATTCTTGCACAGTGTAATTTGCATTTTGTGTGCTTGACAGCAAGTGAACAGAATAGGTTGGTTAACATCAGTAACATGGCTTCCTTGGAATACTTTCTGAGTTTGGGGTTTTGATTTCAACTATGAATTTGCAGAAATACACCTTTGGAATGTGACTGTGGATGCTTAGTTCACTTTCCTGAGAGGCAGCAGAGTCCTCAGACCCTGAAGAGTATTAAAATATTTAAGTTGAATTGGTACAATTTCCATAGAAAAACTTGAACAAACTTTACCTATAACCCAGAGTTTAAAGTGCTTAATTAAAAGGTTCTGACTTTTTAAGGGACATCATAGCTTATAAATTTCTCTTGGATTGGCAAAAGCAGAAATTAAACAGCTTTATGAAATTTGAAGTTCTTACTGTATAGGTCTGAGATTACAAAAGGCATAAAAGGAAAATGACTGCTTATGGCAGCTATTGTTCATTTACCTTTCAGGGTATTTACATTAAAAAACCCCATTTTAATTCAACTCTACTGAAAATGGTTTTTAGACACATCTTCTATACATTTGTTTCTATGAGAGAAGGTTGACTGTATAGATGATATCCCTGCTGAATATTTTATTCGAAATTTTCAATGTCCTGATTTCAATTGGAGTTTAAATGTCCTGGTTTTATCATGGAGTTGTAGAGCAGAAATCTAAGCACAGAGTAGTTTGCATT